ATAAAGGAGTGCCCTATTTCTTGTTTCCATATACTAGTTTTTTATGTGAATTAGGGTGGTTATTTGCAAGGATTCTTGGAATCAGAACTATTGTAACGTCAAATGTTTTTTGTAATTGCAAGAGGTGGAAAACCTTTGCAGTATTCTTTCAAGAACTCTTTGTTATTGTAACAAGAATTTTATTAAGAAAAGAGATGGAAAATAATGCATAAATGTTAAAATTTTTGTAAATATCTCTTTATATTTTTATTGTATATAATGTTTGAATATATATATATATATATGAGAATATAAGTTGTTAAAACATTGTAGTCATTTTTTTTTTTTGTGTGACGGTAACAGGATGGTTGCTAATACATTATATGCATTATTTTAATTTTTTGCAACGACAAAACATCAGTTGCCATAAGTAGATTAGGCGGTCACAAATAGTTTGAGACTGTTGTTTTGCGGTCACAAAAAGTATTTGACACCCCTACATTCGCGACCCCCATTTGCTGTCGCAAAAGGTTTTTTTCAACTGTATTTATATTATTTGCGACGGCTTGTAGCGGTCGCACAAAATACATTTTTTAGTAGTGTTTTGAGCTCATCTTTATCTTGATTTAAAACACAAAAATCTGAGGAAAAGAGGGAGAGAGAGTTCTAGAACGAGAAAAAGAGAAAGTGAGAGCTCAAGGAGAAAAAGGAAGAAGGAAACTTGAAGAGAACATTGAAGATAAGCTAATCTACAACAAATTAACCAACTAAGGTAAGCATCTTCCTCTAACTTTATGAAATACAAGTTGCATTCCTCACGAGATCATATAATCTAGGTTGAATTAAGAAGTTGAAGGGTGTAAATTGGTGTAAATTGAAGTACGAACCCTAAACGAGAAGATTATTTGGTTTTAGGAAATCAGGTCACAATACAATTCAATCCATTCTTTAATTTATTTCTCTTTCTTAGGCTTCTTTCTAACTCTTTAGTTCATTTAGAATGCTCAGTGTATGCCTAAGAGTGCTTAGAAATGCAAAAGAATCGAAAGTGAGACATAAAACAACTTTTCAAAGTTTTCTAAAATAGGGCACTTTGCTCGAGCGCAACATTGGTCGCTCGAGCGGACCCCTTGGTCTACAAAAATACTGGATGCTCTCATTTTACGCTCGAGCCAACTTTTTGGTCACTCGAGCCAAGATTGAAAATAAAGACTAGTCGCTCGAGCGGTCTTTTGGTCACTCGAGCCAACCTCCAATGTCTGCAAAAGTACTGGGAGCTGGAAATGTACGCTCGAGCAATAGTGCCATTGCTTGAGCAAACTACTCGAATTTTGGAATTTCTAGAATGTTGTTTGAGCTTTAAAACATGTTTTTAAAATATACAACTTGCATGTTATGTTCTACATTTCAGCCATACAACTACTAATATGAATACAAGAACCAATTTACAAGATTGATGCCCAAAACATTATGAATTCATCGTACAATACTCATTTTGTTTCAAATTCTTTTTCAAGACATCAAATTCTTGCAATTAAGCTCTAAAGCTTTGTCAATCATGCATGCATATGAAATGTAGTCTCTAATTTCATCTCAAATGGTATGAATGATGCTCATATTCATGAGGCTCACCAATATTATGTATACATGTGTGATTCGATACCAAATTCTTCATGTGAAGTTCATATCTTACACTAAGTCACCAATTCTTCTTAAATTCTCACAATATATGATTTCAATTTACAATTGAGGTTCAATTACTCACCCAGAGCCTTAAACTCTTCCAAAACTCTTCCAAAGTTAGCTAGAACTTGAGTGAATCTTCCCAATCTCCAAGCTTTGAGTTCAATCCCTCAAGCTTTCCCCTTTTCTCCCTTGATTTCTCACTCTCTGTCTCTAAATGGTATAATCTCAGCCAAGACTTGAAGATGAGCTCAAATATATGAGCTCAAACATTAATTAGTCTTATACATAATGGGTGATTAGCTTAGACTAATTAATCTCCATTAAGGTTAAGCAATTACACTTATTTTAATCACTTTAATCTAATTATTTTGACCCGAATCAATTTTTAATTAAAATTCACCGTAGGCTCTAAAAATCATGCTAAGCACAAAAATACGGTCAATTTCGCTTTTTGACGCCTTTACGGTCTTTAATTAAATCTTATAGCAAAAGATCAAACAGATTTTTTTACGGTGAATAGATAGGAATTCAAAAACACATTTCATAAATGGAAATTAGGCTCTAGATTCAAAACCAAGAATCGGTTTTGAGTCCCGTCTTCTCCTACAAGTCACGTGTGCCTACTATGTTGTGTGTATCAAGTTTCGTTGACATCTGAGCCCGTTTGAGCATTTTACTGTGTCAACTGGTTTGAAAAAGAGTTTGTAAGAAATAAGTTCTCATAAACAGAAATTAGGCTCTAAGCACTAAAATTGGAGACAAGAAAGATAAGAACTTCAATTTTTATTGTCGTATCAATTAAACAAACTCAAGAGGCAAAAAGCACTTTGTTTATAAGAGATGATACTCAGACAATAAAGATCTTACCAGAACTTTAATCTTCTTTGCAGAGAAGCAATGCTACCATTAGGTGGATGCCCAACCAAGCACTCTACTTCGTTTGCATAACAAAGATACGACAAAGGAGTCCAACAACAGCTAAACCTCAATTTAGATGCTAAGAGTTGGCCAGAACCTAACTTTACTCACTGCTGGTCTATCACGACCCAAACCTGCCAATAAAAGTTTGGTTCATGACCGGCCAGTAATCACAACATTACCTACGACCTCATATAGAAAACAAATGTTTTTAATAATAGAGCTTTAAGCGGAAGCAAATTTAAGAAATAACGTCCATTGAGTGGTGCTTAAATGGTCAAGATAAAATACTTATATACATTGGAGTCAAGATGTTAAGTTACACATCCACAAGACCAGCATAACAAACACCATACAAAAGTCTTAACATAGACATAAAGTCAAAAGACAACAGCTCCATCTTGGAGTTTTGACACAACAGGTCCTCATAAGCAATTTCCTGAGGCTAACTCTAAGGTTGACCTCCATGCTGATCACCTACATACATACATACAACATAGGGGGTGAGCGATGCTTAATGAATAATAGTAAAGTAAAGAGAATCAAATGAATAATCTTGAATTAAAAGAAATCATATAATGTGAACATAATACTTTTTCATTTTTTTCATCCTTCATAACATATTCCATAGTCACGTTCACAAAACGACCTCAGGCCCAACATGTTACGAAACGATCTTAGGCCCAACATGTTACGAAACGGCCTTAGGCCCAACATATAACATAACGACCTCGGGTCTACATATTAGACAATGGCCTCGGGCCCACATATTAGACAACGGCCCCGGGCCCAATCATATATCATCATATCATTAACAGAGCAGCCTTGGGCCTAAGCACATCATAGCATAAACGAAACGACCTTAGGTCCATATTGCACATGTCATATAACGTTCATAAAACTTATTCATTTCGATCAAAACACAATATCAGAATAAGTCACCGTACCTGGATCAAAATAATCAATGAAGAACATATCTTTACAATACTATTACTTACAATGATGTTGGTCGTGTGGCGGTCTTTCTGGTAGGTGACCTACACAACATAACACATATACAAATTCAATAAACAATTTCATTCAATTCTTAGCCTTTTCCTTTATTTCTTTGTTTTTCGATTCATTCATTTTCCATTCATCTTTAGGCATTACAAAGGGTCAAAACATACTCATAAACATATTCAAGGGGTTAGAGGAGGTAACAGAAAAAGACAGGTTTTTTTCCCATGTTTTTCGCACGTGCGGAAGGTGCCGCACTTGGGGCTGCACATGTAATTAAAGCAGTGTGGGAACCCCTGTTCCAACCTGTGTTTTATAGGTGCGGAACTCCCAGCCGCATGTGTGGTTTTGGGTAACTCAGCCTAGTCTGAAAATGGCACAAAGTGTAATCTTCCATACTCATTCTCAAGCCCAAATTCATGCAAAATTAACTCAAAAACATGATATACCAACATGATTTAAGTGTAATTTCACTACAAACACATCAATCGTGCTTTAATGTCAAATTCAAGGTCTCATCTTTTTCATAAGTTCATGATTTACATGATCAAGCTCAAAATACATATAAACATGGATGATCTCTACACAAATCTTTGTTGTATGAGCAATCTAGAGCTTATTTCATGGAGTATTCACAAGATTGAACTCAACTCAAGCAAAGTTAAAGAGATTAAGGCTCTATTTCTTGAACTTACTTTAAATTCAAAACCCTAACCTCTTTTAGGTGTTGAATCTTCAAATTCGTCTTGATTTCAAACAAAAGATGAGTTATTTACAAAGATTCTAGGTAGATTTCCATACCTTAGCTCAAATCTAGGAGTTTCCCCTTGAATCTCTTCTAAATCTCTAGCTTTTCTTCTTCTTCCTCTCTCTCTAACTCTCTCTAGTAAGGCTCTTAACAAGATGAACTCAAAATAGCTAGATACATATATAACTTAGGCTCATTAATCTTAATTAAATCATTACGAATTGTAATTTTACAAAATTTCATAATAAGCTCTAAAAATATGCTAAACACAGATATGAAGTCGATTTTGGTTTCTAGCGCCTCTAAGGCTTTCAATTTCAGTTCAAAGTTGTAATTGCAATAGCTATTCCTACATTCAGCAGATATAATTCCAAAATCACATAGTTCACATACTTAAATTTGCAAAATCATATCAAACACATAATCACATGCATAATTAAGCATAATACAGGTTGGGTTATCATAGCTTCATACGAGGCCATGCTAATGTTGGATTGAAAGCTATTATTATATGCAAACTCTACAAACGGTAAATAATCTTCCCAACTTCCCTGAAAATCTAAGGCACACATTCGTAGCATATCTTCCAAGGTCTATATTGTCCATTTTGATTGCCCATCAGTTTGTGGGTAGAACACGGTGCTAAGTCTCAATTTCGTTTCATTGCTCTCTATGGACTTCTCCAAAATCTAGACACAAATTTCATATTTCTATCCGACACAATAAACACCGGTATTCCATGTAAACGAACAATTTCGTCAATATAAATTGTAGCCAATCTATATGCATCATAAGTCGTTCGAATAGGAAGAAAATGTGCAGATTTAGCTAGTCTATCAACTATAACCCAGATATAATTCATATCTCTTAGGATTTGAGGTAAACCAACAATAACATCCATGGTTATATGTTCCCATTGCCATTCTGGAATAGAGAGAGACTGAAGTAGACCTGTCAATTTCTGGTGTTCAGCTTTAACTCGCTGACACTGAAGACATTTAGACACATATTATGCAATTGCCTGTTTCATATTAGGCCACCAATAGCATTGTTTCAAATCCCGATACATCTTGTTGTTTCTTGGATGCATTGCAAACATTGACTTATAGGCTACATGCTGAATTCTCTTCTTTAAATCAGAGATGTTCGGAACACAAAATCTGTTTTGGAATTTCAACACTTCATTCTCCACATCAAACCCCGGTCTCGGACTCCTTTCAAACTCATTAATTATCTTCTTGAGGAACTCATCCTCTCTTTGTTTTTGTTTGATCTCAACAATTATTGTTGGTTCAGCTAGAATGGTTGCTATCAATATGCCATGTTCATGTAATACTACTTCAATCTCGAATTTATCAAAGTCTTTTAGTACTTCTTCTTGTTTAGTAAGCAAACAAGCTAAGTTCCCCATCGACTTTCTACTCAAAGCATTGGCTACGGTGTTGGCTTTACTCAAGTGATACTGAATCTGGAGATCATAATCTTTTATCAGTTCGAGCCATCTTCTCTGCCACATGTTCAGTTCTTTCTGGGCAAAGAAGTACTTTAGACTTTTGTGATTTGTATAAACCTTGCATTTTGCCTCATATAAGTAATGCCGCCAAATTTTCAAAACAAACACAACTATAGTCAACTCCAGGTCATGCGTTGGGTAGTTATTTTCATGTGGTCTCAATTGTCGGGACTCAGGAGGCATAAGAAATTGCCCTTCCATTCTGCATTAACACACAACCCAGACCGTTGTAAGAAGCATCACTAAATATCACAAATTTTTCATACCTAAAGGCAATGTCAAAACTAGTGCAGTAGTCAATCTTGTTCTCAGTTCTTGGAAAGCATATTCCCTTTCATCATTCCATTCAAACGATTGCCCCTTGCGTGTAAGTTAGGTAAGCAATATAGCTATTTTTGAAAAGTCTTTCACAAACCGTCTATAATACCCAGCTAAGCCTATGAAACTGTGGACTTCCGTTATATTAGTTGGTGTAGGCCAGTTTAGAATTGCCTTATCTTCTGCGGGTCTACAGATATCTCGTCTCTCTCATCCAACCACAATTCATATTTCTTTAGTTTAGCAAATAATTTCTTTTCTCTAAGTGTTTGCAAGACAGTTCTCAGATGTTATTCATGTTCAATTCTACTCTTTGAATATATTAGAATATCATCAATAAAAACCACAACAAACTCATCAAGGTAGGATTTAAAAATTCAGTTCATAAGATCCATAAACGCTGCAGGTGCATTAGTCACTCCAAATGGCATAACCAAAAATTCATAATGCCGTACCTTGTTCTGTGCGGTTTTCTCAACATCTTCTGTTTGCACCTTCAATTGGTGGTACCTGGATCTCAAACCGATCTTTAAGAACACTTGTAAACCCTACAACTGGTCAAATAAATCATCAATACGGGGCAAAGGGTATTTATTTTTGATCGTTACCTTGTTCAATTCTTGGTAGCCAATGCACAAACATAAAGTCCAGTCTTTTTTCTTTACAAATAAAATCAGTGTGCCCCATAACGAAGTGCTCAGTTAAATAAACCTTTATCAAGCAAGTCTTGTAACTGTTCTTTCAATTCTTTCATTTCAATAGTAGACATTCTGTAAGGAGTTTTTGATATAGGCTGGGTGCTTGGTGCAACATCGATAGTAAACTTTATTTCTCTATCAACCGATTCTCCTGGCAGTTTATCAGGAAATACATCCAGAATTCAACATTCATATATTGCACAGTCAAGACACTACACAAGTAACCTTGACACCCCTTCCTAAGCAGTTTATATGCTTTCATTGCTGGAATTAGATAAGATGGAGGCACTACACCATTACCAAAAAACTCAAATTCATCATGCCCTGGCGGTCTAAAAACATAACTCATTTTGTTACACAGTCAATGGTGGCATAGTATTTAGACAACCAATCCATACCTAGAATTACATCAAAGTGTCTCATGTCCAAGGGTAACAAATCCACATATAAGGTAGCACTGCTAATACGCATATTACAAATATGATATACAGATGTACATAACACAGATTCCCTAGATAGAGCAGATATACATAATAGATATGACAATGATTCTAGGGGTATATTCAATCTAGATGCAAATGTAGTGGACACAAAAGAATGTGTGGATCTAGAATCAATTAACACAAACACATCTTGATTACATATAGAGATAGTACCTAAGACAACAACTTCAACATTCCGTGTGTCACCTAGGATGAGTGCAAAGACTCTTCTTTATCTCATTGTGTCTCTGGTAGTAGTAGGCCTCGTAGTATTCCCTGGCTTTAGGATGGATTTGGTCGAACTAGCAGCCTATTTTCCACTTCTTTACTGCTCAATTTGGGTACAATCCCTTGCCATGTGTCCCATTTTACCACATTTAAAACAAGCCCTGGAAATACGCTAACAAACCCTATAATGTTTCTTACCACACTGGTTACATGTTGGTGTTGTATCTCTGGTGGAGTCCGAAGTGATTGAGGATCCCGTATTCCGCTTTTTCGATGATCCCTTCTTTGAGAAGATGTCTTGTCTCTTACTTTTCTAGTTAGTTGGTGGTTTACTCTGCTTGGCCATATTAGTTTCGGACATTAAAGCCCGATTCAACACATCAACGTAAGTAGGCAGTTTCAATATATTCACTCTTTCTTGAATATCATTGCTGAGACCGCCCTCAAATTTTCTTGCCTTCTTATAGTCGGTGTCGACCATATGCGGTGTGAATCTGGCCAATTTTGTAAACTTTGCCTCGTATTCTGCCACAGTCAGATTGTCTTGTTTAAGCCCCTCAAATTCAGTCACTTTTTTATCATGGGTACATTGCGAAAAGTATTTGTTGTAGAAGATCTCCAAAAACTGTGCCCAATCAATATCTTTGTTATTCTCATGGATTAATATCCACCACCTCTTCACTTTGTCTTTAAGCGTAAATGTTTCCAACTGTACTCTATGTGCTTCGAGGCATAGAAATACTTCAAAGAGCTTTTCTATGCCAAGGACCCAAGCCTCTACCTTCAATGGATCCACTCCCTCGTGGAATGTCGGTGGTTTTATCTTCTTAAACTCCTTAGTAAGAGCTATTGTTCGATCATCATTTTGCAAATCTTGCATAGGCTATACCAGAGGTGGAGGTGGTGGTTGTTGCCACTGTTGTTGCCATTGCTGTTGTTGCCTCATTATTTTTTCCATGTCCTGGATCAACCTATCCATTCTATCCAGTCTGGCAGTAGAGGATTCATCTATCTTATCGGCTCTTTTCCTCACCATTATCTGATGAGACTTGTATTATATTTCATACAAAAACAACGTACACAATATCCATAGATAGCAAGAGCACACATATACAGATATGCGGCAATTCATATATAATGTAATCACATATTTCAGAACACTTTAGTATAGTCTTCATGCATTCAAGCATATTTTTGTTACATGAATGCAACTTAAGTATTTTCTAGACACTCTATTGCTCACTTGGACAAGTGTGTGAGTTATTAACTCGTGCTCTGATACCACTCTGTTATAACGCGAACCCCTCTAAAAGTTAGGATCATAATTGGACAATAATCGTAAGATTACATACGACCTTAGATAGAAAATGAAACATATTTATCAATAGGGGGCTAGAAGTAGAAGCAAAAATACAAAGATTGTCCAATAAGCTGTGCATATGTGGCAAAATAAAAACCTTTCACACATATATATAATAACTCACACATCACATACATAAGAAATTTATACATGTCCAAGATCATTTAGAGATTGTCATATGATAAATCAAAAAAAAAAAAAAGTCCTAGCAAAAATCAAGGTTATATACAAACTTAGTCACACACGACCACAAAAGAAAACAAAAAAGGAAAATGAAAAGCTTCATACGTGAGGCAACCTTCGCTGACTTCAAAAACTTGGTACTCTTTCACAATTTCACTTGGGCTAGGGCTAGACATCCCGCTACTCACCTACATACATATAAATAAATAGTGAGCTAACGCCTAGTGAATAATACCAAAGTAAAGAGGTTAATGAATGAGATTCGTATATGCACAAATCGTACTTGTACTTAATACATATGAAGCACAATTCTCATTCATAACAAACTTAAGCAAGTCATAATGGAATGACCTTGGGTTCAATCCATTATACTCATAATGTATTGAAAGGACGAAACGACCTGGACTCCAAAATATTCATATACAAATGACCTTTGGTCAAATACATGCATATTCAAAACGACCTTCGCTCCAACACATTCATAATCAAAACGACCTTCAGTCTAAACCATTTATTCATAATTGAAACGACCTTTGGTCCAGCATATTCATATGCTCGTTGATAATCATGATCATGTTCACATTCGTATTCACATTCAAAACGACCTTTGGTGCACTCAATTCCTTATTCAAAATTACCTTTGGTCCATCTAACAAACATTCAAAATGACCTTCGGTCCATTTCATATATAAGACGACCATAGATCTATCTTGTCAAACATTCTAAACGGCCTTAGGCCCATTCCGTGTCCTTATCAAATATACCAAACAGCCTTGGGCCCATTTCATATTCTCATCAAACATACTAAACGGCCTTGAGCCCATTTTGTATTCGCACAAAACGACTTTTGGTTCAATCTTATGATTTTGTGCTTATCAGTTACGTTTTAAGTCTTTTATGAATCAGACAAGTAGAATACTCATTTATAATACAAATTCATGAGTTCAGAACTTACCACATAGGTAGTATTTAGAAAATAACATACATAAAATATTTTTACTAAGATATTACTCATAGTGTTCAGATGGTTGATTCGTCCTCGCAATTGACCCTACACAATTCATAACACATACGACAATCAGGTCATAATAAAATTCAATCGGTTCTTAATTTATTTCTCTTTCTTAGGCTTCTTTCTAATTCTTTAGTTCATTTAGAATGCTCAATGTATGCCTAAGAGTGCTCAAAAATGCAAAAGAATGGAAAGTGAGACATAAAACAACTTTTCAAAGTTTCCTGAAATAGGGCACTTCGCTTGAGCACAACATTGGTCGCTCTAGTGAACCCCTTGGTTTGCAAAAATACTGGATGCTCTCATTTTACGCTTGAGCCAACTTTTTGGTCGCTCGAGCCAAGACTGAAAATAAAAGAGTGGTCATTTGAGCGGTCTTTTGGTCACTTGAACCAACCTCCAATGTCTTCAAAAGTACTGAGAGCTCAAAATATACGCTTGAGCGACAGGTCCATCACTCAAGCAAACTGCTCAAATTTTGGAATTTCCAGAATACTGTTTGAGCTTCAAAACATGTTTTTAAAAGATATAACTTGTATGTTATGTTCTACATTTCAGCCATACAACTACTAATTTGAATACAAGAGCCAATTTACGAGATTGATGCTCAAAACATTATGAATTCATCATGCAAGACTCATTTTGTTTCAAATTCTTTTTCAAGACATCAAATTCAAGCAATTAAGCTCCAAAGCTTTGTCAATCATGCATGCATATGAAATGTAGTCTCTAATTTCATTTCAAATGGTATAAATGATACTCATATTCATGAGACTCACCAAAATTATGCATGCATGTGTGATTTGATACCAAATTCTTCATGTTAAGTTCATATCTTACTAAGTCACCAATTCTTCTTGAATTCTTACATTATATGATTTCAATTTACAATTGAGGTTCAATTACTCACCTAGAGCCTTCAACTCTTCCAAAGTTAGCTAGAACTTGTGTGAATCTTCCTAATCTCCAAGCTTTGAGTTCAATCCCTCATGTTTTCCCATTCTCTCCCTTGATTTCTCACTCTCTGTCTCTAAATGGTATAATCTCAGCCAAATGTAGCTCGACTTTTTGTGCTCCTTTCGGAAGATGAATAAGCCCTACAGTATCGGACTCCCAAGGTTCTGAATTTGATCCCACAAGTGTAATGTGAAATAGATAAACACCAAAGAGTCCAAATCCGGCAAATCTTTTGAAAAATCGATTTTGAATCAAAATGCCAAAAATAGACTACTTTGCCAGATACAGAGTCGCTACCTAAATATTTTTGGAAAATTTAGGAAGCCCATGACTCGTGCCAAAGGCCACGTGTTCATCATCACCAAGATTGTCTCAGCTCGGGAACTTAGGTACGAGAGGGGAAGGTCATGAATTGAGCACCCTCGCTTACCTGATCAAAGATCAACCTCTACTAATCATGATGTGAATCTTATTTATACTACATGCTCTTGTTCTGATTATTAGGCTAGCATTACTATGTGATGCGCACAAGTGTAGACTAATTTGCAAGAATCAAAATATTTGATTCATGTTTGTTTGCAAAATTGTTTCGAATACGTACCACTTGAAAAAGTGATCGTATACAAGTATTACTCAAATTATTCCAATTCAAGCAATTAGCCTTCATCCATAGGCATTCAAACAATTTATCATTTAAGAAATTAGCCTCATGGCAAGCATGCTAGACATGGCAATACTCACATATAATGCAATATGCTAAAGCGAGTAAAAGCTCACCTAGTATTCCAAGCCGAAAAGATAAAAGAGTTAGAAAATGCATGATCCTAACTACGCAATATGACTAATGAAACGCATCCGATATGCAATCTAAATAGGTTCGACTACTTAACATAACATGTGAATTAATTTGATAGCATGCGGTTTAAGCACCTTTTCAAAGAATGCATTGTTAGAATGATGAACCGAGCCTCGATGCATGCAATACAAGTGGATGTAAACATGAATAATGTTAAAAGAAAAATGATGTTCTAAACTATCCTTCACAAGCAATTAAATAAAGGGGAGAAAGACGTGGAGTTGGAAGACATACATATTATTACAAGTTTGCCCTCACGCAGGAGTGTTCGAATAAACTAACTAAGCTAAGCTAATTACTATGAATTAACTAACTATTACAAAATGAAATGAATAATTTAGCTAAGCTACTTAACTAATTATTACAACAAATTAATTAACTATTCTAGCTAATCAACTAATTATTACAATACATAATTAAATAACTAGTCTAGCTAACTAATTATTTACAACACTTTACAAAATTAACTAACTACAACTAATTAATTACAACAAATATCTAAGCTAAGTAGATAAAACAGCCTCGAGAAATGAGGAGTGCTCATGTATGCGTGCGGATTTCCACCCGAAAAAGCCACTGTTCTACTGCCAGGAAGCCTCTGTTGCACAATTGAACACTTGCACTGTTTTTCACCTCAAAACCAACTCTGTTCTGTTTCAAAAGGATACTGCTGGGTTTTGCAAAGGTGGCTGGCAGTAGAAGTGGTGACCTACTGGCCACAAATGATGGCCTGCCATCCATAAGAGGTGGCCTGCTAGCCACTACTACCTGGTTCTTTCTACTGCAACAGAGAGCAAACAATGCAAGCACAGGGTATTCTCAAGGGTTGTTTGCACAACTTACCCCTTCTTATCATCAAATAGCTCAAAGGAGTGGCAAAATTTGATTCACAAACCATCAATGGATACAATTTCATTGCATGATGGCCTATGAACCAAAGTGTGTGAGTTCAATAAATGCAACAAATAAGACTCTCAAACCCCCTCCCTATCATGGATTGATCAAGGGAAGTGGTTGACAATGATTCTTGAACTGTTTACATCACTAACAAGTATGAAACGATTCAAGACTCAAGGGTTCAATTAACATCCAATTGAACCCGAACCAAGTTATTATCTTGCATCATTTTAGTCCAAGTTTTATTACTCCATTTTAATTACCAACCATTCCTTAGTAAATTAAATCCAAACGTAAGCTTAAGTCCTCTAATGGAAAGGAGCACCAAACCAAGAATTGTTTTAGGCATGAGAGAGATGTCATGTCGTTGGTAATGAACCCCCAAAGGGATTAAACCATTAAGCATAAGTCCTCAATCTTAAGCTTAAACAAACAAGTGGCTTGAAACAAGTTTTAAAGCAAAGAAAAAGCCAAGAAAGAAGGGAGGTTACAGAAGTGATTAGGAGTGAAAACAAGTATGGAAAGCCATAAACAAATGCTATCAACTCAAATAGGTTAGTGGTTAAGGCTTAAACCACCAAGCCTATGAGGACAATTACACTACAAGCATGCAAT